AGGGGAGGGGAGGGGAGGGAGGGGAGGGGAGGGCGGGGAGGGGAGGGGAGGGAGGGGAGAACTGGACTCAATTCTGCAGGGATTTGAGACTCAAATCTCCATTCCGACTCAATTCTGCAGGGATTTTCAGACGGTGGGCAGGCAGATTATAATATCAAAAAAAAAAATGGCCACAATTTCTCCCTGGAAAGGTGAGGGTCTACGCTCCCTCTCCTTGAACCACGCTCCCTCGCCTTTGTCACTGCCTTTGCCAATAGAGTTCAGCTATGTGGCTTCTGAGGCTCCATCACAAAAGGTGATACAGCTGCTACCAGACCCTCCCTCTTGGAAAGCTCACCCTTGGAACCCAGTGACCATGTTGCAAAGAGGCCACGTGTGGGTATTCCACCCAACAGCCTCAGCAAAGGGCCCAGCTGGAGCTGACACAGATCCTGGGACACGTGACAGAGGGAGTCTGCAGGTGGTTCTTGCTGCCAGCCTTGGTGCAGCCGCCTGCTTTTGATAAGTGTATTAAAGCAAAGATTTCCCCACAAAACACTGCCCAAATTGCCCGTCTGTCTGTGAAATAAATGTTTGAAGCTGCTACTTTCAGGGATGGTTTGTTACACAGCAACAGAACTGAATAAGAAGTCTTGGAGTGAAAACAATGATCTGATTTTCCCTGGGAAAGGCAGAACCTCCTTTGGCCACCCCAGAATGTTAGTGAAATAAATGAGCTCATGGGATGACACAGATAAAACAGTTTCAGCTGCTCTACAGCAGAAACATCCGCCCTCCACTCTTCTCCATTGTAAACAAGAACTTTCATTTTCTGACAATAACAGTTTTATACATTCATTGTAGGAAATTCAGAAAAATGAGAATTTTAAAAAATGAAAATGAAAATGATCTGGACTCTTAGCATTTACAACTGTTAATAATGTGTCCCCTTGCTGGGCCCTGTGGCTCACGCCTGTAATCCCAACTCTTACGGAGGCAGAAGTGGGAGGATAGTTGAGCCCAGGAGTTCAAGACCTGCCTGGGCAATATAGCCAGACCCCGTTCTCCACAAAAAGGAAAAAAAGAAAAAGACAAATAGTTTGGTCCCTTTAGTATTTTTTTTCCATATAGACATTTATTTTACAAAACATGGGTCATATTTGCACAGTAAAATTGATGTTGGGCCATCATTCCCCAAGCATGTGTTTTGTTTGCTTGTTTGTTTGAGACAGGGTCAGGCTGGAGTGCAATGGCTCCAGCTCTGCTCACTGTAATTTCCGCCTCCTGGGTTCAAGCAGTTCTCCCACCTCTGGCTCCCAGGTAGCTGGGACTACAGGTACATATGCCACCACACCCAACTAATTTTTGTGTTTTTAGTAGAGGTGGGGTTTCACCATGTTGCCCAGGCTGGTGCTGAACTCTTGACCTCAAGTGATCCGGCCACCTCAGTCTCCCAAAGTGCTGGGATTACAGGTGTGAGCCACCACGCCTGCCCACCAAGCATGTTAAAGTCTTTGTCAGGTGCCTGACTGGACACTTGAGAAGAGGAGAAGGAGAACAGGCTTTGAGCTGTGGCCGTAACTGTGACCACTTGGAATGGTCAGTAGTGAGATACTAACACTTCATTCCGAGAGGTGGCCAGGTGTTGCCTGGTGAATACCTTGGGCATCCGCTATTTTTCTTTGGGGTGGGACACAGCTCAGAAGACGTTCTATCTGGGGTGTCTGCTGGTCACAGCCCCCAATCTTTGCCCCTTGCAAGCGATGTGCCCTTTGAGAGGCACCAGATGACTGCTCACATTATGCAAGTGGATTATCCAAAAGTGAGCCCTCATTTGGAAACACTTCAATGAAAAAGTGAAATTTTGTTCATAATCCACTCTCATTAATTTCAGAATTTTCAAGGCTTGGCACTGTGGCTCTCCCCCGTAATCCCAGCACTTTGGGAGACTGAGGCAAATAGGATTGATTGAATCCAGGAGTTCAAGACCTGCCTGGGCAACATACAGGGAAAAACTCATTTTTAATTAAAACAATTTTTTTTCAACATTATATTAATAAATAAAAAGCTATTCGATTTTTTTTAAACATGAACTGCTGTAAATTTCGGCATGTAAAAAATTGTATTACCAGCTGGGCGCGGTGGCTCACGCCTGTAACTCTAGCACTTTGGGAGGGCAAGACAGGTGGATTACTTGAGGCCAGGAGTTCAAAACCAGCCTGCCCAACATGGTGAAATCCTGTCTCTACTAAAAATACAAAAAATTAGCTGGGCATGGTAGTGGGTGCCTGTAATCCCAGCTACTCGAGAGGCTGAGGCAAGAGAATTGCTGGAACCTGAGAGGTGGAGGTTGCGGTGAGCCAAGATTGTGCCACTGCTTTCCAGCCTGGGCAACAAGAGTGAAACTCTGTCTCAAAAAAAAAAAAAAAAATGGTATTACCTACTCATGCAAGGTTCCCACTTCCCCTTCTCCCCTCCTCACCCCTCTCCCCATCTCTCTCTTTCAGACAGTGTCTTAGTCTATCGACCAGGCTAGAATGCAGTAGCATGATCATGGCTCACTGTAGCCTCTACCACCTGGGTTCAAGTGATCCCACATAGCTGGGACTACAGGTGCACACTACCACCACACCCGGCTACTTTTTTTTTTTTTTTTTTTTTTTTGTAGACAAGGTTTTGCCATGTTGCCCAAGCTGGTCTTGAACCCCTGGGCTCAACTGATGCACCTGCCTCTGCCTCCCAAAGTGCTGGGATTACAGGCGTGAGCCACCAAGCAGAGCCCCAAATTTTCTTGTTGATGGAGGCTGTTAAGAATTTTGAACTTTTCTTTTTTGAGGAGAGCTCAATGAAATAAGAAAATTTTAAAAAAAGCAAAACTGGCCGGGTGCGGTGGCTCAGGCCTGTAATCCCAGCACTTTGGGAGGCCAAGGCAGGAGGATCACCTGAGGACCGGAGTTCAAGACCAGCCTGGCCAACATGGCGAAACTTTACTAAAAATACAAAAAATTAGCCAGGTGTGGTGATGGGTGCCTGTAATCCCAGCTACTCAGGAGCCTGAGGCAGGAGAATCACGTGAACCCGGGAGGTGGAGGCTGTAGTGAGCTGATATGGTGCCATTGCACTCCAGCCTGGGCAACAAGAGTGAATTCCATCTCAAAAAAAAAAAAAAAAAAAAAAGAAAGAAAGAAAGAAAGAAAAAGAAAAGAACAAAATGTATTTAGAATATAAATTTTAAAAAATTTTTATTACAAAAAAATTTTGAACACTTTCTTCCCTGAAAACTGTTACATAGTGATCAAAACAGATGTGACAACACCACCAATCTCCAGGTCACCACGGCCAGGTGGGGAAGTGTAGCACCCTGTGATGTATTTGCAGGGTTCTCCAATTGCTACTGCATGTGTAAAACCCGTATTCTCAGTACCAAGTCCAGTTAGGTGTTCAGCAGGAATGTTAAATAAAGATTTTTATACTTTTATTTTAAAAACATGTTTTCCTTTCTAACTTTTTATTTATTTTTTGTTGTTGTTGTTGTTGTTTTTGAGGCGGAGTTTCACTCTTGTTACCCAGGCTGGAGTGCAATGGCGCGATCTCGGTTCACCGCAACCTCCGCCTCCTGGGTTCAAGCAATTCTCCTGCCTCAGCCTCCCGAGTAGCTGGGATTACAGGCACGCGCCACCATGCCCAGCTAATTTTTGTATTTTTAGTAGAGACGGGGTTTCACCATGTTGACCAGGATGGTCTCGATCTCTCAACCTCGCGATCCACCTGCCTCGGCCTCCCAAAGTGCTGGGATTACAGGCTTGAGCCACCGCGCCCGGCCCCCTAACTTTTTAAAAACAACATTTTAATCCAGGTCCCCTGCATATCCTGCACTCGCATGGCAAAGGCTGGTCTTTGGGTCTCAGAAGACTACAGTGCAGCGGGGTCACTGACCCGCCCCCGCCCCTTCACCAGCCCACGCTGGGTCAGAGCAGCGTCGTCCTTAAGCGGGGACAGACCCGTGTTTACAAGATTCTCAACCCTTGGCTGATGTAACAGCGTCATCAGCCTTCCTTGGGGAGAATGAAGACTGTTTTTACCCTCTTGTTAAAAATGCTCATTTAATTTTCGGGCCAGGCGCGGTGGCTCACGCCTGTAATCCAAGCACTTTGGAGGCCAAGGTGGGTGGATCACTTGAGGTTGGGAGTTCAAGACCAGCCTGACCAACATGGTGAAACCCTGTTATTAAAAAAAGAAAAGGGACCAGACACGGTGGCTCACGCCTGTAATCCCCTAGCACTTTCGAAGGCCGAGGCGGGTGGATCACGAGGTCAAGAGATCGAGACCATCCTGGTCAACATGGTGAAACCCCGTCTCTACTAAAAATACAAAAATGCTCATTTAATTTTCAAGCTTCTTATCCTTCTTTCCTTTATTTTTCTTCTTCCTTCCTCCCTTCTGCCTCCTCCTCCTCCTTCTTCTTCTTGTTTTTAAAGCCAGGGATTCGCTCTGTGGCCCAGGCTGGAGTGCAGTGGCCTGACCCATGGCTCACCGCAGCCTGTACCTCCAGGTCTCAAGCCATCCTCCTACCTCAGCCTCCTGAGTAGCTGCGTCTAAAGGCGAGCGTCACCACACCTGGCTGATTTTTTTAAAAAGTATTTTTGTAGAGACGATTTAACTATGTTGCCCAGTCTGGTCTCGAACTCCTGGGCTTAAAAGATCCCGCCACCTTGGCCTCCCAAGTGTTGGGATTGCCGGTGCGGGTCCCCGCCCCGGGTTTCTTCTCTTTCTCACATTTTTTACGCAAAAAAGTCTGAGCCCTGAAGCTGCGCTGGTCTCCTGCCTCCAGGGGAAACGAGTTTATTTCTGCTTGCTCTCTCTCCCTCTTTTTTGTTTGCTTATTTGTTTTTAGTATTTTTAGTATGTTTTGGAAACATTTCGTTTCAATAAGTGTTTGAAAATCGGCTCCCCCGCCCGGCGCTCCCGGCGGGCACCTCCCACTTCCCAGCCCGGAGAGGGTGGGCACCACTCCCAGAAGCGGGGACGCGTGGGTGTGGCTCGGGGGCGCTTGCCTCCCCCACCCAGCGTGCCCCGGGCCGCGAGCGTTTCCAGTCGGGTCACTTCTGGGGGACGAGAAAAGAACTGCCTGAACGGTCAGGACACTTTTTCCCGCTCCGGTTTTCCCGGGAGCGGACAGGGGCAGTGAGGTCGGAGCGGATCCGAGGGTCCCTGCCTGGTCCCGCGGGGCGGCCAGCCTCCCGCCCTGAACCGAGGGGACAGGAAGCAGGTCGGGGGCTCAGGGACGCGCAGACATCGGCGGCCTCCTCCCTCCAGGCTGGCGGTCCCCGAGCCCTGGCGCCTCCTTAAAGCCGTGGCTCCGCCCCGCCCGCCCGTCCGCAGTCCCTCCCAACCGCCGGGTCCTCGCCGCCTCGGCTGAGTGGGGTAGAGCCTCGAGCCTGCGAGGAACGCGCCGCCCGCCAGCTCCCTGTGCCCCGTCCGGAGTCCCCGCGTCCCCGTGTCCTGCAGTCCGCCGCCATGGCCAGCGAGGAGCTGGCGCGCAAGCTGGAGCGCCGATTGAGGCGCGAGGAGGCCGAGGACGGCAGCCCCCTGCCAGCTCCCCTCGGCGCCCCAGCCCCGGAGCCCCCTGCCCGCCCACCCACGGCCAGCGCCGACGCGGAGCTGAGCGCCCAGCTGAGCCGGCGGCTGGACATCAACGAGGGCGCCGCGCGGCCCCGGCGCTGCAGGGTCTTCAACCCCTACACGGAGTTCCCGGAGTTCAGCCGCCGCCTCATCAAGGACCTGGAGAGCATGTTCAAACTGTGAGCTCCCCCCGCGCGCCCTTCGCCCGCGGGACCAAGGAGGGAGCGGGAGGGCTTTCTGACCCGAAGTCACGGGCCGCGCTTGGGCGGGGAGGTGATGCAGGAGTCCCGGGGTGCGGGTAGCCTTTGGCCCAACGCAGCCAGGTTTGGCGCGCTCGAGTCTGTCTCCGCGAGGTGGGGGGACGGGGTCTGGGGGTGGGAACACCGGGAGCAGGAGCCGCGGCTCTCGGGGACTGAGCCCAAAAGTTCTTGGCGGCCGCTGGACCCGAGTTCCCGGTCCCCTAACTCCGACCGCTGGTCCCGCCCCCTCCACCAGCGGGTCCAGAGATTTGCCCCGAACTCAACTTCTAAGAAAGGGAGCGGTCGTCGCGCCTCACCTGCCAGCTTTCACCGTATCCCCCAAGGGAAAAATTAGCCCCTGTTGGCCTTTATCTTTTAAAATAAAAAGGGAAAGTTAATCCTTGGCTGCCGCTTGGGGTCAGATGTAAACTCGCTGTAAGAGATTCAGGACGTTTCTGGGGCGAGCGCTATCCGGCAGCCTCCTGGGGGTGTCATGGGAACCGAACTTGGCCGTTGCCACCTGTCCGGCGGGGGCTTGTCCTGGCCTGCTCTGTGAGCCCCATTGCGCAGGGACCGGCCAACTGGGGAACCACTGAGTGGGAGGCAGGCGATAGAGACCCACTAGTCTGCATCGTCGCCTGGAACCTCCCTGGACCTCAGTTTCCTCATCTGGAGAGTGGGAGCTGTAACGGTCCCTGCCTTTTAAGGCCAAAAAATATTTTGTACCCCGTAAGCTCTTAACCGAGCTATTAATATTATTTCCAGAATTGGGCCAAGACCGGAAAAATGCCTGGGGGAGCTGAGGCGGCCGGCCAGGTCATGCTTGGGCGTTTTTAAAAGCGCATGGAATGCGTTTGCCCTCCGCGTGGAGGTTCTATTTAAAGGCGCTGTGGCTGGCGCTGCGTCGCCTGAGCCTCCGCTGCCCCTGCACGGAGGTCTGCAGAGCCGGCACCTGGGAGCCTCCGCCTCCTCTGCTTCCCTGGCACCCTGGTTTCTTTGTCTGGCTTCCAGGCACTGATCTGTCGTGTTTTCTGGGTCCAGTTTGGGCAATTCAGGAAGGCCGACTTGAGTTTAAGAATGCGGCTGGGGGCCGGGCGCCGTGGCTTGGCTCACGCCTGTAATCCCAGCACTCTGGGAGGCCGAGGTGCGCGGATTGACTGAGCTGAGGAGTTCGCGACCAGCCTGGGCAACACGGTGAAACCCCGTCTCCACCAAAAATACAAAAAAATTATCCGGGCTTGGCGGCGTGCGACAGTAAGCCCAGCTACTTGGGAGGCTGAGGCCGGAGAATTGCTTGAACCTGGGAGATGGAGGAGGTTACAGTGAGCCGAGATCATGCCACTGCACTCCAGCCTGGACAACAGAGAGAGTCTCCGTCCTAAAAAAAAAAAAAAAAAAATTGCGGCTGGGGCGAAAATGGAAAAGCAATGTGTGAGGCAAAGCTTGTTTGGAGTCCCTTTGATTTCTCTGGGCTAACGCCTTTCATGGGAAGACTGCCCTGGCCGGGCTGCTCCCAAGTCCCACCAGTTCCTCCCAGTCCAGCTGGATTTAGGGCATCTTGGGGACCGACCTTTATCTTCAAGTTGTCTTGGGGTCACTCAGGCTTCTTTTGTCTTTCCTGCAAAACAATCTTTGGAAAGATCAACGTGTTAGTCGGCTACCTAAGTGTAATGAAAAGAGTCCATATGCTCAGAGGGCCTTGGGAGGTGAAGCAAGGTGGTGTCTGTGAGCAAGCAGGTACTGGACCAGGATCAAGCAAAGGGGAGCCAGGCACAGTGGCCGATGGCTGTAATCCCAGCACTTTGGGAGGCTGAGGCCGGAGGATCACCTGAGGTCAGGAGTTCGAGATCAGCCCGGCCAAAATGGTGAAACCCCCATCTTTACTAAAAATACAAGAATTAGCCCAGAGTGCTGTCGTGTGCCTGTAGTCCCAGCTGCTTGGGAGGCTGAGGTGGGAGAATTGCTTGAATCAGGGGGGCAGAGGTTGCAGTGAGCCGAGATCATGCCATTGCACTCCAGCCTGGGTGACAGAGTGAGATTCTGTCTCAAAGAAAAAAAAAAGCTAAAGGGAAGGCAGGATGTGGCCTGGGATCCCAGCCTGGCTGACAGTTCAACTGGTACTTGGTATTTCTTTCTAGGTTGAGTTTTCTGTCACTTGCAACCAAAATTGGCATAAACAAAAGGGGTATAATTTGGCTGATGAAACCAAAAAGCCATTGCTAGCTTCAGGTATGGCTGGATCTAGGAGCTTAGGTGCTGCCATCAGTGCTTAGTTTCTCTTTTTGTTGAGCTAGTTTCTGTGTTGTCCCTATTCTCAGATGGCTCATTCTTGGTGGTGGTGGTGGCGGTGTGGCCACAACAGCTTAAATTAATAACGTAAGAATGTTAAAAACCCTAAAGAAAACGTAACACACCAATTTGTTTTCTGTTGGATTACCTTCCAGATTTTACTCATTGCAGTAGCAGTCTGTAAGGCTGTGAAGAGCGAGCTTCCTGGGTTCCTGGGTTCAAACCCTAGCCCCACCACTTGCCACCTGGAAGGTTCCTGAAAAAGTTCCCGCCACCCGGGCAGCTTACTTAAAAGCTCTGTGCCATCAGTTTTTCCCTTCTGTCAAATGGGAAAACATAGGACCTGCCATGAGGGGTTATTGTGGGGCTTAAATTTATTCATGTTTGTGATGCATTTAGCTCCATGTTTTGGCCTATGGTGAAGGCCCGGTGGATTTTAGCCATTAAGCTTTAGATTATCACATATCTGTAATTTGGGTAAATGTGCACATTTTATGTTGTCCTTTTTTATTTAATACTTTACTTTGCTGAGTCCACTTTATCCTTTGACACTGACTTAGCCCACAGTTTGAGCTGTGGCGTGGCAACCTGGCCTCTGGGTGAATTCCGGGTTTTGCCCTTCGGGTTCTATGGAAGGAACTCGTTAGCTCCTCTGCTGCTGGGTGAGGACTTTTGTTTCTTAGAGCTGCCTGAATAAAATGCCACAAACAGTAGCGTAAAACAACAGCGGTGTATCGTCTCATAGTGCTGGAAACCAGAAGTCTGCCAAGTCTGAAACCAAAGTGTCAGCGGGCTGTGCTTCCTGGGAGTCTCCAGCGAAGACTCCTTCTGTGCCTGTCTTCTCGATTCTGGTGGTTGCCAAAATTTGGGGTATTCCTTGTATCAACGCATCACCCTGATCGCTGCTGCCCTGGGCACTGGGTGCTCTCCCTGTGTGTTTCTGTGTCTTCATGTGGACTTCTTATAAGGATACCAGTCATTGGATTTAGGACCCACCAAATCCAGTGTGACTTCATCTTAATTTAACTTTTACATCTACAAATAGCCTGTTTCCTGATAAGGTCACATTCTGATGTTCTGGGTAGACATGAATTTCCCGGGCGGGGGACAGGGTGTGGAGGGGGTTTCTGTTCAGCTCAGTGCAGGGAATGAGAAGAGCTGCCCAGAGCTTGAGCACCATCTCTGGAGCCTCTTCCGAGGAAGTTCTCGGATTTAGGGAGGTCAGAATCTCAGATTTACCCAAAAGCCAGTATGACTCCCACCCCCATCAGACAAAGGATGCCTTCCCAAAGCACCACTCTAATTCACGTCGATTCACCACCCAACTATAAAACAAAACTGGCCAGGCAGGGTGGTTCACGCCTTTAATCCCAGCATTCTGGGAGGCCGAAGTGGGTGGATCACCTGATGTCATGAGTTTGAGACCAGCCGGGCCAGCATGGTGAAACCTCATCTCTACTAAAAATACAAAATTAGCCGGGCTTCGTGGCAGGTGCCTGTAATCCCAGCTACTTGGGAAGCTGAGGCAGGAGAATCACTTGAACCTGGGAGGCAGAGGTTGCAGAGAGCCGAGATCAGGCCATTGCACTCCAGCCTCGGCAACAAGAATGAAACTTTGTCTCAAAAAAACAAAACACAAAACCAACAGAACCCACACAACACCCCCCTTCATGCCAGAAACACACCTATTTCCAGCAAGAATTTCACTTTTGGCCAGGCACGGTGGCTCACACCTATAATCCCAGCACTTTGGGAGGCCGAGGTGGGTGAATCACCTGAAGTTGGCAGTTCAAGACCAGCCTGACTAATATGGAGAAACGCCATCTCTACTAAAAATACAAAAAAATTAGCTGGGCATGGTGGTGCATGCCTGTAATCCCAGCTACTTGGGAGGCTGAGGCAGGAGAATTGCTTGAACCCGGGAGGTAGAGGTTGCAGTGAGCCGAGATCGTGCCGCTGCACTCTAGCCTGGGTAACAAGAGTGAAACTCCATTTCAAAAAAAAAAAGAATTTCACTTTTAAGCAGTTTCTAGATTCACATTCTGATGTCACCTTAGTTCATTAGGCCCCTTGCAGTATGTGACCTGATTAGACACCCATTCTTTTTGTTTGGGGCTGGAAAGATCCATACAGATACTGGGAGACATGCTTTGATCATTTAAATTTGATTTTCCTATTTAAAAGTATTTGGCTTAGGGATTCCTTACATTTTCGAGGCTCAAAAAAACCAGATCCTTTCCAGCCTCTGAGCTTGTTGGGTTCTTGGAGTGGTGTGTGGTTTCTCTTTGTATGCTCAGGACCCAGCACAAACGAGCCTGGTTCTTAAACGGTGTGTTGTAGAAGAAAGAGGTTTTCTAATGAATGTGGGAAGCCAGAGGCATCATCAGCCCAGCCAGAGAAAGTTCCCTCTCCGTTTCCAAGCCTGTTACTGGATAGCCTGAGCCAAGAGAATAGTGGCCTGATTTTAAAAGAAGAATGAGAAGGCCCAGAAGAAACTGACTCTACAGTGTGTGTCCGTGGCTGTAACGTGAGCTGGTGGAGCACTCGAGGTTAGACAGGAAACTTTAATTATCCTGGACTTATCTAGAGGCCTCTTTCAAAGGGAGGCAATGAGGGCAGCCACTTAAAGGCAGGAGCCCAATGCAGCATCT